GAGAACCCTTCTTCCAGAATTGTGAATTTTAATGCCCCTGGGTCAGGGGTACCAAAGAGGGGGTCTACTTAAATACTGAAAATGAATTAATTGTTTGAAATCTGGTCCTTGGCATATGTGTATTAATCAAACATTTTTGATACGAAAGGATTCCCTTTGACCTAGGTTCAGGGCTTCATGTATGGGAGGGGCGCTACTGATTATTGCTGAAAATTACTGATTGGTTGTAAACTAATGCATTTTTTGTTCCCCTACCCTGCCTATAGGTATTAAGTAACCAAACTAAACAATTGCTAAGTGTATATTTATGATGAGCAATGGTGCCTCTTTCAAAGTTGTGAATGCCGTGACATTTAGTTTAAAACATGAACCAAATTCAATCATTGGAAAGTTGTTGCATGATGCTCAGGTGACCTATAAGGCCCATGGGCCTCTTGTTTTAATGAAGGATCACTCTCTCTTCCATGTGAAGATAAAAAAAGAAAAAGTAAAAACTAATGTGAAAGCTTCTTGATAGTGTTGATTCAAGTTTATACAAAATTAATGATGATCCCATTCCAGTGGAGAAACTAAGGGTGATAAAGAACTTCAAAAATCTTCTCAAGAACAGCAATGCCATGATCGTATCTATATATGGAATGTATTCATAGGTCGTGTTGATCCACATTTTTTTTCAAATCCTGGCCTCTGAGGTTCCCTAACATGATGTGGCCACTATGGCTTATCAAAGTTTTAAATGTCATCGTGTATGAATTGGAAAATTCTTTAAATTTTAAGATCTTCTGAAGAAGAATAGAAAGGAAGTGGCTAATCATATTTTAATATACAGAGCATTTTCAGGTAGAGTAGATTCAAGTGTGTTCAAACCATGACCCCTGAGGACAGAATGGGGCCACAATGGTAATAAAATTTTATATGGAAATATGTAGGGAAAAGAATTTGCTAACAAAGAAAAAGGGCCACAGTTACTTGGGTGAGCACTGTGGCCTATAGGCCTCTTGTTAGTCAAAAATACAAATGAAATATATTTTTCATATTTATACCACATTGAATAGAAGTATGAGTGTGTGTGTGAAAAATATCATTGTAGTTTCATAGTGCATGTATGTGTATCTAATCATTTTGGACTCTTAAGGTAATTTTTCATGAAAGTCTGTCAAATGGCATGATCAGTACCGGTATAAGATAGAATTTTGTGTTTGTTGAAAAGTAATTGGAATGGATTTTTTTTTCATCCATGAAAATTTACTCTGAAAGATAGTAGTCATCCATTTCGGAAGCAGTTTAGTACTGTAACGGTACTGCGTTTGTTTGTTTGTTTTTTTTTTTAAATTATAAATATTAACAATGTTTATGCCTTTTTTATTCATTTCAAAATCTATTGATTAAAAATGACAAATTTCAGTTTTAATGAGACAAGCAAAAATGATTTCTTATACCTTAAACAGAAAATCTGGAATGCCAATATTTTTAGTATGTAATTTGTAAGTTCACAAGAAGTCAATTTATATTGTGCTTTTTAAAAATATATTCAAAGTAATGAATGTGTGAATATCTTTTACTAAATATTATGCATAATAATATACATGTATATGCTTAAATTAAAACAAAAAATTATTCGAAAAAATAAAGGCGATAAAAAATTTGATTATCAAGATGTAGCTTAATCATGTTTATATAATTACATGTATACTAGTATATCAAAATAAATGAAACATTTAAAAAAAATAATAAAATAAGTTTTATTTGACAACCAACATCTTGGTGCAGGTGCTTCTATTTGTACAGCCCGATGATACAATGGAATGCTCTGCGTGACATATTTCCATTATTATTTATTATTTATACACATGTGAACACAATATAAAATTTTTAACTGACACCAAAAAATATACATCTCTGTATATAAGTCCATTTTGAACAAACTTTCAAAGAAAATAGCACGTTTCTTTTGTTATAACGCCCTGAAAAAAAGAAAATACACTGTAATCAAATATCAAAAACAACGGCATCAAATAGACCACAAAAATAAACTTCTATTAGCATTAAAATTATTTCCCCAAGAAAGCGTCTAAAGAAATTAAATTCATTGTTATAAATAAAAAAAACTTTTATTGCTAAACTGTGCATATGCTTAATAAACTTTCTGTGCATTCTTTTACCTTAAAATTTCAGTGATCAATTAACATAAATCAAAATTAATAAATTCATTTAATATGAAAAACGGGAAGATATGATGTTTTTAACCTTTCTTTTCATAAATAAAAATTCCATGAACCACATGCATATAGTATGGGGAATTTTTTATTTATGTAAAGAAAGGTTAAAAACGTCATGCGCGTGTGGAATGTATGATCATCAAATAATTCGATTCAAAAACAAATGCAAAAAATAGCTGAAATATTTGATAAAAAAATGTCTGATTGCTGACAAAAAGGCTCGTGATTTAACGCCATGCACGTGCTGAAATCCTGGACTTACATGTATGTAACCTGATAAATCAAGGTTTTAGTAGATATTTATACATGTAATATTGATATAAAAATATATAAATGCCAGGTTCATAAAAAGGTGACAAATTAATTCATAAACTTCAAAACATTATACGCGTGATGTCTGTCTATTCCGTGGTTGTCATATCGACGATTTGTCGTATGCATAATATTTTTCCGAAAAGGTGTCATACATGCATGTGGACTCTAAAATTTTGATCATCTAAATGAATGTTGGTTTACATATAGACCACAGCTGTCGATTCTTTTATGGTTGCATTATAAAATGTGCACATGGGAAAATGGCAGGTGAAATTATTTTGTCACAATATAGTTATATTTGTCTGAAGGGACGTCATATTGAGACTGATTTTGTAATATTAAAACATAATTATACATGTACATGTACATTTGGATATAGCGGACGGCTAACTAGTATTCAAGCTCAAAGTCTTTTTAAACTAAACAAATCGGGAGCAGTCAAAAGCATCATATTTTTGATCAGGTGCCACTGATATGGAGGAAAAAACATCCACAGTCGATAGGTCACATCCGCTGTGTGCCCCTTGTCATGATTGGGCGTAAATAATACCCTAACAATTAATATACGAAAAACACCAGTCAGCATTAGACCTAATGGTAGACTGTATTTGCTTATCGAATAGTGGAACGTGCGCGAATATGACTTCAAAATTTAACAAGACTGTTGAACTTCTTGTTTCATCAACTTGTTGATCAGTACATTGCCTCATTTGAAAATTGAGCATACGTGCTTGAGCATGCTCTTGCTTACTGAATCAAGAGGGAGAAATTGTAACCCCTGTAGACTCTGATATGGGTACATATTGCTATGTAAGAAATGGAAGTTGTCGATGAAAAAGTTGATCATCACGTTAATCAAAAAGTTTCTATGTAATTTTTTTCTTGTATGATATCAAAATAGAAACATATGTCAGACTCTGTGGTGCCAAGATATGAATGGAAGTAACTATAAAGTTAACTAGGGCTAATTGTAACGGGGACCGTTACAGATGTTCCCCAAACGCTCCCCAACTCCCTTTTGGTGCCATATTCGCTGCAAGCGCTATTAAATAAGACACACTTTATGCAATAAATTTTAGCATTGCACGCGTGCTCATCTGAATGCATGTGCGTAATGACCATATCGTTTTGTCTACACTATTTATATATTTTAATATACTTAATATCAAATCAATTAATGCAGAAGTATTAAGAAATAAACTCATTTAAGCGTATTTTTAATTTTATTCATTTCACGTGCATGCACGTGCATGAGGACTATACATTCTTGTAGGAGTCTATTATGTCTGTCTATGTTCTAAATCCCATCCTGTTTGGTTGAAAAACAAGGGAGTTATAGCCATTTACATTTTTAGCCAATAAGATTACAGCACACGTGCATGCGCGTGTTTTCACGATAATTGTTATACATAATATTGTAGTACATCCTAAAGTATGTATATATTTTAGATTTCATAGCATTTCGTCAAAAAACAGAAAAAATATTGAGATTTTTGTTTCAGCCAATCAGTGCATGTATGTGCATGATGACCATACCTTCTTCTAGGAGTCCATTATATGTGTCTATGTTCTAAATCCCATCCTGTTTGGTTCAAAACCAAGGGAGTTATAGCCATTTAAAGTTTAAGCCAATCAGATTGTAACGCACGTGCATGCGCGTGTTTTCAAGACAATTGTTATATATCACATTGTAAAGCATCCTAAAGTATGCCTATATTTTAAATTTCTTATCATTTCGTCAAAAAACAGAAAAGATATTGGGATTTTTGTTTCAGCCAATCAGAGCGAAGCGCATGTGCATGCGCGTGAGTTCGTGCTAATTTGACAGTGTCATATTATCTACACTATTAATATATCTTTATAGAATGAGTTTCAAATCATTTCATTAAAAAATGTAAAAGTTATAGCTATATTAAGTATATCGGTCATTTCACTCATATCACGCGCACGCACGTGCATGCGTATGCGCGCAAAATGACCTTCGTTCCGCACACCTACACTACACACCTATTAACCCTAAAAAGGTTTTAGCTTAGTTGGGTGAACAGTTTCTGAGAACACTCGCGGACAAAAAAGTACCGGAGAACAAAGAAGAAAAAAAAGAATAATAATAATAATAATAACTAGTGCTAATTGTAACGGGAACCGTTACAGATGTTCCCCAAACGCTCCCCAACTCCCTTCTCGTGCCATATTCCCTGTAAGTTTCATTAAAGAAGGCAAAATCTATGCATTTAAGACGTAAACAACGTTTTCCCAAAAGTATACCAAGTATTTCAAATATAAGCAATGCAGGCGTGCGCATGTGATTACATGAGCGTAATGACGATAACATCTTGTCTACACTATTTTAGTCATATGCACGTGCACGCACGTGCATGATGACCATACCTTCTTGTAGGAGTCCATTATGTCTGTCTATGTTCTTAATCCCATCCTGTTTGGTTAAAAAACAAGGGAGTTATAGCCATTTAAAGTTTAAGCCAATCAGATTGCAGTGCACGTGCATGCGCATGTTTCCACGACAATTATTATATATCATATTGTAGGACATCTATGCCTATGCCTATGTTTTAAATGTAAAAGCATTTTGTAAAAAAACAGAAAAGATATTGAGATTTTTGTTTCAGCCAATCAGAGCAAAGCGCACGTGCACGCACGTGCATGCATGTGAATGCTGACCATACCATCTTGTAGGAGTCCTTTATGTCTATCTATGTTGTAAATCCCATGCTGTTTGGTTGAAAACCAAGGGAGTTATAGTCATTTAAAGTTTCAGCCAATCAGATTGCAGCGCACGTGCATGCGCGTGATTTCATGAAAAATTTTATATATCATATTGTAGTACATCCTAATACATGTCTATGTTATAAGTTTCAAAGCATTTCATCATAAAACAAAAAAGATATTAAGATTTCTGTTTCAGCCAATCAGAGCAAAGTGCACGTGCATGCACGTGAGTTCATGCAAATTTGACCATGTCATCTTATGTACACAACTTATATATCTTTATAAAATGAGTTTCAAAACATTTCATCAAAAAATATAAAAGTTACAACCATATTAAATATATCAGCGCGTATACTCATTGCACGCGCCCGCACGTGCATGCGAATGCGCGCAAAATGACCTTCGTTCGGCACATCTACACAACATGCCTACTAACCCTAAATAGGTTTTAACTTAGTTTGGTGAACAGTTTCTGAGAACACTTCCGGACAAAAAAGTACCGGAGAAGAAATAAGAAGAAAAAAGAATAATAATAATAATAATAATAATAACTAGAAACGATCTCGTTGCGAGCAACGAGAGGTCTTCCGTCCGTTTCAGGAAAAGAACCTAAAATCGAGCTGAAAAAGTGATAAAAAATTTGGTCACAAAGGGGATTTAACCCAGGTCGCCAGCGTGAAAATCCGACGCGCTTTTTTCCTCTTTATTCCCAACATGCTTAAATTACGCGTTTGAGTCCACTGCTCTAAATGTACTTTAGTATACTTCTTCAACAATACACCTGTCTAAGAATCATGAAAGGCGCGCCACAATTTATAATTTTGCGCCAAACGCCACAAGTTAATCTGCACGCCTTTTCTATGGAATGTTTCATTAAATAGGTGTGATAGCTTCAATAGAATAAAGAGAAAGGAACGTTCTTTAAGCCTAAATTTCGAGGTTTAGAATATATATTTAACAAATTGTACATATTCCATGTCATATATAGATAAGTAACACAGAAGAAGTGAAATGGTAATTATTTTTAACTTTTTTTTAATTACCCGTTTATCCCCAAAGTGAACTAACCCGATTCTTTACACCTTCATGAAAAGGTAGAAATGGTTCGATGAAAGACATGTCTCGCCCTTTAACGGTCAAGGAATCAGATTTCATTTATGTTCAATGTTCAATATCTTTGAGATAACAATGTTAATATAAACTCCATTAGACGATTTTATTTAAAAAAGGATTTTTTTATTTTTGTCTCTTGCATTACTTTAATATGACTCAAGTGTGCGCGGAAAACACAGTGGTTACTTTTGTGAAAAACGAATAAATTTTAAATACTGCTCTAAATATAGTTATGTATACAGTACGCCTGCAACAGTACACCTGTCTAAGAATCATAAAAGGCGGGCCACTATTCATAATCTGGCAACAAACACCACGAGTAAATATTCGTGCCTATCCTTTGGACTGATCTATCAAATAGGTGTGATAGCTTCAATTAAATTAAATATTAAATTAAACAACTTTTTATCGCCTTTATTTTATTTCGACGTTAAGAAAGTAAAAACACATTGCACACACGTATCTAGCCCAATTACACCAAAGCAGTAAACGGAAATTAAGTTTTAAGATTGTCACTGAATTGCAGTGTACTAATAGGTGAAAGTCCACGTAGTGTTTTTACTTTCCATGTATCATTTAGTCAAACGCGCAACTGACTCCATAAGCCCCTACTCGCGAAATGGCGGCGTTGACAGAGAGAGCCGCCATCTTGGGTCCGCTTCAGATTTTCAAATATTAATATCTAGAGTTCAGATTAACCAATGTTCAAACAAATTATATAGTAGGCATCTATAGAAGAGTCACTATTAATATTCCCAAAATGAATGAAAAATATTGGAAAACCAAAAAGTTAGAAAATACGATTTTTTCAATTTGCATATCCTAACGACAGGAAGTATTGACGACGAACGAAAGGTCGCGTCCTGGCTAGTATCTATCACGATCTATAATCCCTGAAAATTTCACTTTGATATCTCTTACCGTTTTAAAGTTATATCGAGGACAAAATGTCATTTTAATTTCAGGAAATTGTCCATAACTTGGCACCGGAAGTGACTTTCCAAAAAATCTCTCGGATATAATAAATTCATGTTACAACACATTTGTTCTGAAAATTTCATTTAATTTCAGGCTGTAGTCTTTGAGAAATCGCGTGCACAAAATTAAAAAGTCAAAAAAATAAGAAAAATAATAATAATAAGAAACAATAGAATCACTATAAGGTCTTCCGTGAAGACGGAAGACCTTAATAATAATAATAAGAAACAGAGTAAAAACAATATGTTCCCCAACTTCGTTTGGGGAACATAATAATAAGAAACCGAGTAAAAACAATATGTTCCCAAACTCCGTTTGGGGAACATAATAACAAAGAAATATAGAAAATTACACTCTGATCTAAATATATTTGCTACTTCTGCCTCCTTTCCATGTCCATTTTCATCTCCAAGCAGGATAGACAGCAATAACGACCCCAATGGGAACAGAAGAGTTCAGCCTCAGTGACGTCATACAGTCGTCTGTAGAACGAACAGTTATCATCACCGATCTGTTTATCTAAGCAAGCATAGTTACCTGTAAAAATGATGAAAAAATGAAGTTAGTTATGGAATTTAAAATTTAATATGATGCACTTGTACATCTAAGCTAAAAAAATAAATTCAGTTGTACGTGTCTTAGGGATGTTCTTTCATCACTCGAAAAACTTCATGAAAACGTCGCAAAGTTAGAAAATATTTACATCCACTGAATATTTTCTCTTGAGCAAAGGCTGTTCCATGAATGAAACGTACTAGGATGTATTAATAATACAATTATTAATCTTTTAAATCATACTTTTAAATGAATATTTATGTAGGTATAAATTTAAGTAATAAAATGGTTTTTTTTGTTTGTTTGTTTTTTTTTTGTTTGATTGTTTTTGTTTGTTTGTTTTTTTTTTTTTTTTTTTTTTTTGTTGTTTTTTTTTTTTTTGTTATTAGTACGAAAATTAACGTCGCAGCTATTGCAGAAAAAATTACATAACCCGCTAATTCTATATTCAAATAAACGCTACTTTTGATATCTTGAAAAATAATTCTGACATTATCTTGAAGTATATATACTTTTTTTAAGTGGAACAAAATTTTCTTTTTATTAAGAGTTTTGAAACAAAGCACTCTCAAAAGGCATCCTTAAATTATTATTTATGCATTCAATGTATACAGAAGTTCAGTTAAATTTTATTCAGAAAATAGTACGTATTGGAAATCTTAAAAATAATTTTACAAATTCTTTAAACGATTCCTCACAGCTAGTGGATGCTTTCTTTTATCACAATTATTATTACAAATGAATTCAGGTTCTTCTTCTAAAAAAAAAAAAGGAGTAATGCATTGTGCATTCACGAAAAAAAAATCATTTTTTTTTATTTACAGAGTGTATCAAACTGTCAATTACATTGTATATATATATAGCAAAAACAAATCTACACAATATTACCTAATTGAGGAAATGACACTGCCACGTGTACCTCCAAACAGATTAGGCACGCCCACACAACAGTGTATATCTTCATTGCTGGTACAGTTGTAAGCTACAGGCTTCTCTCTCCTATGTCTGAAGGGTGGGGGTTAATCGGTCCAAGTTCTCTATACAGACAACACCAACTGTCAATGACCCACATTCCATGAATTTCTTTTCACTTGTTATTTTTGAATTTTTATGCAAATCTTGTTACATGATTAATCAGTTCGTCTGTTTGAGTTTCCTTAGGAGTGGATAAACATAAAGATTATTACAGAATTTGGCAGGAAAATAGCTCGATTTAATGTGTGTCTGTGTAAACCTTGTTTTGCAGAATTCTTCTGCATGTTTATGCAAAAACTATCGTCATTTCAGGTTTATACATTTGAGGTTTTTCTAAACTGTTACTTTCTTGAGAAAAAAAAAACCCAGGTATGGTGTTAAATTGCCATTGGGCCACTTGACTTAACTTTAAGGTACATAGACCTTCATACATGTGGATATGAACAAAGTACATGTATATAAATGATTCACATACAGCTGCTTTTCAAAATACATTAATATGAGAGAAAAAATATCCTAAACCTCTTTCGGATGTATCCATTTTATGCCTTTTACTGAGTATTTCCCGCCTAAGCTTACACTTGAGTATACCAGAAATTTTGAAGAGGCGTTTGAGGTGATACAAATGTCACACCAATATACATTTATTGATTGAGTTCGAGGGCAACATGCATTTTGTCGGACCCAAGAACCAAACTGTCTGCCTGCAGCCGTTAGCCTGAATGCAGACAGTTTGGTTCGAGGGTCGACAAAATGCATTTAACCCACGAACTCAGTCATGCAATAAATGTTTTGTTATACCTTTCATTTTATTTTATTTTTTGCCATACATGTATTCTGTACTGTCTTCCGTGATGTAACAATTCAGGCCAGTCGCTGTTGAACACCAACGAATGAAAAGGCGGTCCAACATCGATTTTTATATGCCCGCTCACCAAAACATTAGAAATGTTAGACTTTTTTTCGTATAGATTTGTATAGGAACAAATTGTTAAAGGTATAACAATGTCTTCTATTCTTTCCTATCAAAGCACCACAAAAAAGATTTTAAGAAAAATATTTTTCAATTCAACAATGATATATTTCAGACATCAATGATAAATAGACGAACAAATATTATTTATTTCTGAAACGAGACCGGCAGATGACAAATGAGTTAACGATACAAGGATATCAATATTCCATTTAAAGGAAACATTTCTCATATTTTACTGTCGATACAATCTCTTTGTGTATCTTGCATCGAATGGTGAATGAATGTTGACTGATATTTCACACAAACTGGTAGGCCATTATATTCTCACTGTGACTAGGGGCATGTAGCAGTTGTGTTCGAAACCTTCATGAAACCTGATCCTGTTTCCATTTTATAAGTCTGTGGTAGCTCTGCTCTACGAGGGCTGTTCAATAAATAATGTCCTCGGTGCTCGGAAAGAAGCAAAAGACGCTTTTCAATGATTTAGTCTTTATGATTTAACTTCATATACTATTTTAATTAAAACATGTTTGTAACATTTTTTATCCAATTTCTGATTGTTTTTATAACTCATTTTTGGGTATGACCTTTAGTATACTGGAAAATGGCAGATCCTATGATTTCCTGGACTTGTTTCTTTCTTCTGAAAGGTGTTTTTTTTTCAAGTTTGGAAATAGAAACAAGTCAAAAGGTCAAAGATCTGGCGAATATTGTTAATGTGAAAAAACATTGACTTTCTGTTTAGCCCGAAAACTCCTTTACTCTTCAGGGCGTGCGGGTTTGGACGCTTTCATAAAGAAATTTAATGTAGTGGATTCCTGATTCTGGGTCCTTCCTCTAATAAACCTTTCAATTTTTTTGCAAAGAATTTGCATTCTAGACTCCTCCAGAAATTAAACTGTCTCCCCGAATACGAATTTGAACAACAAAACCACTAATATTTAAGAAAATTGCATATAAATCTGTCTTTGTGCTCTTGCAATTCTTTGCTCTTGTCAGACCTTCGCTGTTTTTATCAAGTACATCTTATGGTAAATGTTGTTTTGGGGGTTTCAAGCAATAGATTCAAGTTTGATTACCTGTTTGAATATCAAATAAAAGTGGATAACCACAATAGACCCTTTTCCTATGACATATTTTGTCTATGAGTTATTCCCCTTAGCCGCCATATTGTAGGGCAACATTCTCAGATCCCTTTTTTACTTAACCAAGTACTTTTTATTTAACCAAGTTCAATTTGTTATGCTGGTTACTGAGGTAAAGATAATGCTATTTTTTAGCTCTACTGGTCAGAGACCAGAAGAGCTTATGCGATAGTAATGCGTCCGGCGTCCGTCCGTCTGTCTGTCCGTCTGTCTGTAAACAATTTTTCAAAACGCTACTCCTCCTACAATTTTAGTCTGATTTCAATATAACTTGGCACACAAGTAGACTACACTAAGATACGTAGAATAGTGCATCGGTTTTTAATTTCGATGAACGGTGTTGCCATGGTTACTAAAAATAGAATTTTCTGTGAAATTCATTAAAAACGCTACTCCTTCTACAGTTTTGGTCTGATTTCAATATAACTTCGCACACAAGTAGACTACACTTAGATACATAGAATAGTGCATCGGTTTTTGATTTCGATGAACGGTGTTGCCATGGTTACTAAAAATAGAATTTTCTGTGAAATTCCTTTAAAACGCTACTCCTTCTACAGTTTTGGTCTGATTTCAATATAACTTGGCACACAAGTAGACTACACTAAGATACATGGAATAGTGCATCGGTTTTTGATTTCGATGAACGGTGTTACCATGGTTACTAAAAATAGAATTTTCTGTGAAATTCCTTTAAAACGCTACTCCTTCTACAGTTTTGGTCTGATTTCAATATAACTTGGCACACAAGTAGACTACACTAAGATACATGGAATAGTGCATCGGTTTTCGATTTCGTTGAACGGTGTTACCATGGTTACTAAAAATAGAATTTTCTGTTAAATTCTTTAAAACGCTACTCCTCCTAAAATTTTGGTCTGATTTCAATACAACTTGGCAAACAAGTAGACTACACTAAGATACATGGAATAGTGCATCGGTTTTTGATTTCGATGAACGGTGTTACCATGGTTACTAAAAATAGAATTTTCTGTGAAATTCTTTTGAAATGCTACTCCTTGTACAGTTTTAGTTTGATTTCAAAATAAGTTGGCACACAGGTAGACTACACAAAGATACATAAAATAGTGCAATGGTTTTTGATAAGTACAAACCAGTAGAGCTACAGTCTCGACAGAGACTTCTGGTCTTATGAATATACATTTTTTAAAGCCTCTATTAATTCATGATTATAAGATTGTGAATTTTTCCCCCATATATTTCTTGCATGCATGCTTAAAATTGGTTGCCCAAAGAGGTAAATTCACTACTTTGCCCTACAAGATGGCGGCTAAGGGGAATAACTCCTAGGCAAAATATGTCACAGGAAAAGGGTCTATTACTGATATTCTAAAATAACTGTTAGGACATTCGTACAGGCTGTCGTTTTCACTTTTATTTTTTACCGTCAAACGTTTCTTAAAAACAGAGTAAACTACTCCCGAAATGATGAAAATAAAATTTTCTATGTGTCTTAAAGTCAATCATACATCATCAAATATTATTTGTTGAAATTTGGCAAACGGTACACGAGTTGTTATAATTTTTTGTTGACAAAGACGGCACCCATTTTTGATGCCCATTAAATAATTTTTTTATCATTGAAATCCACCTGCTCATTTGTATATAAAACAGGCATTGGTTGCTTTAAATTTCACATACTTCGGTGAATATTTCTTGATCCGAATAGCCCTTGTTTTCCAGCTTCTCACAATGAAACTATGAGATGAAAAGTGGTCACATTAACTGTTATAAATTCATTAAAGATTCAATGATAAGAGAAAGTCAAGCTTAATGTCATATGATATCTGTATTGTATGTCATACAGTTCAGGACATTATTTATTGAACAGCCCTCGTATAATACTCAAGTTGGAGCATGATTACTATAGATATCGTTATATTTCATAGTTTGACCAGCATATAATTCTTATTTAAAAAAAAAATGAAATTTCAGTGCACCATAAGATGCTCTTCATTATAAGTATTTAAAAGTAATGCGTACTTTCATTTTGAAAAGAGTCATGCATGAAAATATCTTCTTAGGAACAACAAATTCGATTGGAGTTGTATCATATTTATTTACCAATGACAAAATAATTACAGTGCTCGATTTCCAGCTAGCTACTCTATACATATGGAATAATTCCAAAAGATAGTACCCATATATTTTCTAAATACAATGTACTTTCATTATCAAAGATTACAAATCTATCTATTAATAGAACTATTAATAGAATAATCAGTATTACAACCATCAACGGACAAATGCACGTGAAACAAATACATGTACACAATTATACAAAATTAAATACATTACATAATTTATCCAAGGTTAGTGTGGGCACAACATATAGTAGACCTCTCGGGATGAATATAAGTATAAAACATATAAAAAATTGAGGTAGTTATTTTCATAAACAGTATTTCTTCAGTTTTTTGGTTTCCTGCGTGGCGCAGTGGTTAGAACGTCTAGTGTTGTAAGGTAAGGGGTTGATTTTTACGCCGCGGGTTCGAATCCCACTGTGGGACGTGCTTCGGATGAGACCGTATAAACCGAGGTCCCGTTTCGAAGTAGGGGCTGGCACGAAATAGATCCCTCCTTGCTCAATGGCCCTGAGTACCGAGTAATAATTTAATTTTAGTTGTAAAACGTCATTTGATTGGGAAAAAGATTAAATCCATTCGCGGTTTATAATGCGTAAAATGCCCCAAGTTATGTTATATCGTATAACAAAAGTTGAAATAAGCTTCATTCCTTTTTAGGACAAAATTTGCAGCTCTCTATCGGCAAGTGGTCGCGTCGCCATATGAGTGAAAAATTCTCCAGAGGGGCGTTAAACAATATACAATCAATCAATCTGCGGTTTTTGAATGACAACTTAGAAAGAGGGGGTTGGGTTAAATCGTTCATTTGGTCATTTCTAAACATTGTTTTAATAAGGCACAGGAGAAAATCACAGCTTTATACTGATCGACACCACATTGTTTCCAGTATTTTCTAGATCCCCAGTGGTGTCGTTTACTTTGGTCTCGATGTCGAAACCCTTTTCAGAGGAGGCCTTCTCCGATTCTGTCGGCTGCTCATCGGGAGGAGACATTCCTAACTCTTTATCTTCCTTGGAACCTTCTTCTACTTGTTTAAGCGGAAGGTTGTTCTTTTCATCCAGTTTGATCTTGACTTTATCATCTTTCGATTTTTCTTCGTCATTTCCAGATTCGCTATGCATCATGGGACCGATAATTGACAGGAAAAGAGGTAAAACCCATAGGGCGTGAAACAGACCAAAAATCATCACTATTAGCATAAGCTTAAAGAAAGACAAGAAAATGTAACTTTTGGAAAATATCAACATGAGTATTCCCAAGATGGACGAGAAAGCAGAATTGAATATTGGACCCCCAGACCGAGACAGTGCCTGATGGACCTTTTCCTTCCTTGTATTGCCCGAAACAGACATGTAGGCATGGCAGATGTGGGCGCTGAAATCGACCGAAAATCCAACAGTCATAATAAGATCAATCATTGTAATAGAACTCAAGGTCAGGTCTAAGAAGTGCATAAAACCCACGATCCCTAACAGGATGATTACCAAGGTTACGGTTACTATGACAACAAGGAATATATTTGGCATAAATATGGTTGTTACCACCATCATGACCGCAACAGCGATGCCTAGAGTCTGCATGGTGGCTGGAAATATCTCTACATACTGTTCATAAAAAATAAACCCAGGGGTGTACGCAAAGACTGAGAATTTACACTCGGATGCCAGTTCTCTTACATTTTGCATCAAGTTTCCACTGTCTGTGGTACTTAACATAGGCTCTGACATAACGTGAAATCGGGAAGCAATAATAGAGGTTTCCGAACTATCAAATGCTACATCGTTAGAGAGGTCTGGGCGATACTGCATAAACTGTTTAAGACCATTAATGAAGCTTGTTTTGGAAGAATTATTAAACAGACTAGACTGAGAGTAGACATCTAACCAGAATCTGTCAAAATGAGGGGAAATGTAAACATTGTCCTTTACCTTTTTAATATAAGAAGCCATTTCGTTTTGAACTTCCTGTGTATGATAATTCAGTGTTTTGTCAAAATTGAACGAAACTGGCGTCACATCGTCAAAATACTGCTTGTTCCAAACATTAAACTTGTACAAGTAGGACTTTTCTGAAACAAGATTTTGTAATTCAAGACCTTGCTTAAGATTCAAACATCCATATATGGAGAACCCTAAATACGTAATAAACACTAACAAAATGAAAATCTTTCCGACAAAATTACCCACTAAGAATTGACAAAACTTGGTTGGGTATTTCTGAATGAAGTTGCTGTAATCTTCCGGAGTGTCAGCGGGTCTCCCAGCACAACAGCACTGGTACAGGGTGGATCGCCCTTCCTCTTTCAGCTCTTCTTTGGATTTCGTTTTCAAACAAGTGAAGGCGTGTCGTGATTTGTCGGCTCGTCGTTCGTTGATAACCATACACGGCACGAACAAAGTCAGCTGATTTATGTAACAGAAACACACGGCGACTCCTAAAATAAACGAAAACCAATGAAATTATAGAAATCAACACGGAAAAGCAAAGAATAATCATAATCTAGACTGTGTATCTAAAGGTGCTGATAATTCATGTAATATGAGATACGTCTGCATATACAAATTTATACTAGAAAGTGTACACCGGAGGTTACATTATCTTATTACTGTTGTATTTTGATATCAATACAAAGATCTAGCATTCTAAGAAATGGAAGTAACCATTTGAATTGAATCTTGTTTTACGTCGGTGTGATTTAATAGATAATTCATCAAACAACATAATATTTTTATTTGATATACACTGCATTTAATACCTTTTATCTTTTTTATTTAAAAAACTTTAATTGTCATCAATATTATCGAAATGAAGGATTTTAAAGATGATGGAATTTGAATCTTGTGCAGGATATATTTACAAGATATACATGTACTGGTATACATGTACCAATTATACGAACATAACCACACAATCATAATTACCTGTATATATTGAAAAATTCCTTATGCTAACAAAGCTTGAGCTGGATCCTATGCCAAAGGCTAGAAAATCTGTCAACGACGTGATAGAAATGGAGACACCGCTGGTTGCCATGGCAAATGAAATCCGTTGCTGGATGGTTGTAGGTGTTCCGTCACTTCCGGTGAGTGGTGCATCTGCCAGACCGGAGAGTAAAATAAACACGTCGTCTAACCCGATACCTAAATAGAAATACAAAGTAATGCTAAATGAGAGTTATTACCAACGTATAAGAAGACATATTATATTGATGCTCCTGTTCCAAGTACAACATACATTCTTTTGTTGTGTTGTTTTATATTTTATGCATATTCACCGTACGTATAAAACATCAAGAGAATAGCATAAAAGTAAAAGAATTTCTTAACATCTTTTAACCATAAACACGTTTTAAAACAATATCTAGATAAAGTAACTAAAGAATCAATCATGTAATGAAAACGTTACGTATATATGCAGTAAAGGTATTTTAATTTAAAACACTCTAAAATGACATGTAATTGGCTGTGTATTCTTTGAAGCGATTTTTGCAGAAATAATCATGCATCCGCTAAATATTTAACACATTCAGATATAGCTTCAGCAAATTCGAATTTCGCCAAATATCGTACATACTTAAGAGCTTAAGAATGTTTTTGATTTACAATATGTTTTACGTACCTACGATAAGGAAAGGCATGACACCCACTAGAGACACATACTCCACCCCAGCGGCTGATGTCAGTCCAAAAGAACCCAGGATTGCCAGCACTGTAGCCAGAACACCTGCTCGACCCAAATTCGAGCGATCTGCGATACAGTTGATCCGTGTACCAGTTGTTGCAAGTGACGCATAGGTTAGCATAATTGTAAAGGTGAGTGATATCCAAAGGATATCTCCCGAGACGTTATTGTCGAGTTCAATATCCAGTGACTGGGACGTTGATATCGCGATATCCAGAATTGATGATTCATAGGTTTTCATTTTTGAAATAAATTCTCTCTCCCATAGTTTAGCTGTTTCGTTGTTATAGAGGAGAGAGTACTGCAGACGGACCAAACCGGCAGATAGCAAAGTTCTGTTCACGTGACGCACTTCGCCCAGTCTCCGGGAAATGTCGCTTCTCTCATACACTGGGAAAGAAACCCGTCCTTTGTTGAATGCAGTTAGAAATGTTTCAGTGATAATTTGTTCACCCGATACCAAGCAAGATCCTTTGCTTTTGGCACACACGTCAATTAGAGTTACATTTGACATGACAGAAATAGAATTTTGTATAAAGTTATCAATATCTTTTATTTCGTCTATATACCTTTTTTGAAGGATATTTTCACCTAACTTGGTTCGAAAAAGGATTTCTGTTGGAGAATTAACTTCAATTTGTGCCAGAGGATCGAAATTTTCTCTATAATTCATCTCAAATAAACTTCTAGCCCTGTCCCGGTCAATGCTGGCCTGACTGTTTAAGGGTGTATACAGCACTTCTGTGCTGCCCTCACTCTGTAAGCGTAACAAACCGACCCCCAGAAGCAGATTCGCTGATATAGAGCAGATTAGAACTGGCCAGGGATATTTGGAAACGATGGCCCCGTATTTGGCAAAGAGTTTGCTCACAGCCTCTTCATACCTCGTGTAACATCCCATGTTTATATTTCTGAAATAAATCCGATATCATAAATAAAGAATATTGCAAATAAAGAAAGGATATCAAAAAATTGAATTGTTCAAATCATCCAATCTTGCTAGATTTAAAAGAACACAACCTTGTGACGTATTAGCAAAATTCTGAAACTTACGGTAATCATATAGTTCATTGTTTCCATAAATCAGGAAAAAATACAAACATTCTCGGATTTCACGCCACTGTTAAGATATCATCACCCCTTATTCTTTTTTTCATAACAAGGTATTCTGATTTAAGCTGTGTATAGAGCTTACAGATCGAGTGACAACGGGCAGTCGCGGTGAAGGGGATTGTTGAGAAGAGCTAATTGGTGAATTCACCTCGAGTAACTGTGGTCTTTCTTTGTTTGGGGTATTGAAGGAAATGTTTATGATCTGTCATTATTCGCTTGTTTTTTTTTTTTGTCCGGTCAGTAACTTGTTCTTCAAGGTAATACAATTTTGGAAAATCATCCGTTAATTATTTCCAAATAAAAGCGGATATGATAATTAAAAATGTTTATTCAAATTTGAAACAACAACAACAACAACAACAAAATATATCAATGCACCCTGGAAATAACCAAACTGCATGATAAAACCGTTTTTCCAAAAAAGAGTAAAAGAACACATAATTATGATGGAAAAAAACCTTCGACATTTCAAAGAGTGCAGTACATACCTGTCTTGAAAACGTTAACGGTAATCTAACAACCAAACTCTATGATAAACGTGATGACTTTAACTTTTCTATCGTCAACTTGAACTTCCCTTATACCTTCATCACCTACATACGGAGTTTATATATCTCAGTTGATTCGATACGCAAGAACATGCTCTACGTATGAACAATTTCTACAACGAAGTACATGTAAATGATAGACAACCAAGTTGATGAAACAAGAATTTCATCAGGCTTCTTTAAAATCATCATTTCGTAAGTTTTATGGTCGATACAACGACCTTGTCAGTAAATACAATTTATTATTGAGTCAAATACTGACTGACGTTTTTCATACTAATTGTTAGTCCATTATTTATACACTGAATTGACGACGGATTTTCTCGTTTTTTCCCGATCATGTCAAGGAGCACACGGAGGGTGTGACCGGTTAGCAGGGGATGCTCACTCCTCCATGGCACCTGATCCCACCTCTGATGTTTTGGAAGTCTGTGTTTGCTCTGCTCCTATTTTGTATTGTTTTATGGACCTTTGATCTGAAATACTGTTCGTTATCTCCATATGTTTCGAAGACTTCATTACTCTTAACTTCATATTACCCTTTCATAATGGTGAAAGGTTAGTATACCGAAACTGATGACAATATTTATAGATAAAGTAGATGTGGAAATTTCAATCATATAAACATATAAGTTGTTGGGTATGGAGAGTTATAATAAACACACTCTTTATCATTATCATCATATTCATCATCAATTGATAAATAATTTAATATGAACCCATGTTGAAAGTTATCCGAGACGTTTTCCATCTTGTAATTCGTTTTAATAAAGTAAAATTAATTTGTATAATTTATACAAAGAACATACAATGCATTAGAAACGTGTTCGATATAAGACACTGCTATCAAAATAAACTTACCTTAACAGGGAAGAATCCTGCAAATCAATAAACAGTAGTTTTGTTGGCTTTATAAGATACGATCTTACAAATACGGATGACAAGCAGATTTTAATAAAAACTCGTCAAAAACTAATCCGTGTAATTAGCGGTAACTGAAACCGATAGTATAATAAACCTGGCGAAGCTCGGGTATATGACCTGAGTTTAGGGATACACAGAGGGTAATTATGTTCCCCAAACGAAGTTGGGGAACATATTGTTTTTACTCTGTTTTTTATTATTATTATTATGTTCCCCAAACGAAGTTGGGGAACATATTGTTTTTACTCTGTTTCTTATTATGTCGCCCCGAACGAAGTCGGGGACGACATATTGATATTGTACGCATGTTTTTTTTATCCAGGCTGTTTCTCGGAGATGGCTGGGACAATCTACCTGAAACTTTCCTCAAAGGACGATCACTGGTTGTAGTTGTGCAGTGAGGTCGTTCAGTTCCAATATGTCTACCGTTGCCATGGAAACCTGTAAAAAGCGACAAATTTTGTCCGAGAGTGTTCTCTCTGGTCCCTTAAACGTTCGTCATGAAACTTTTCTTATTTTAAGGATTAGTATCTGTAGTTCTGCAACTCGTATTTAAAATTTTCATATAATCGATTATTGCCATGGAAACCGGGTGAAAGTAAAAATTCTTTAATTTCGATTTTCTCAATAACTACTCAGGCAATCGTTTTGAAACTTTCAATGTTTATTCCTTGCAATGTGTCAAAGTGATTTCTACTTTCAAAATAATTGTAATGAGTCGCTCACGGTTGCCATAGAAACGAAACAGAAAAAAAGATTCAGATGTACACATGTGTTCTCCAAGGTCTAGGTCAAAGGGTCAAAGTTCGTCGTATCCAATAAAAGTTCTTTTCACAAGGATTACATATTTGAAATACGAAAGCCCTAGTACTTACCGTTCAAACGTTATGGCTATTTACTATGTTCAAGACGACCCCCCCCCCCCCTTTTTTTTGAAGCACACAGCCAAGTAGAATACACAGATATAACATATACAACTTACAAGTAACTTTTTAAAATCTTCATTCATAAAATTCAGTTCCCGTCATGTGATATTTTGCCATCATTCATTCTCCTTCTGTTTTGTCTCTTGAATTTATAAATATTTTATTTTATCTATATAAAAAAAAATAACGATTGTCAGCTGCATTTATTATCATTTCGCGTTTTCTTGTATATCTATCACTTGTATATTATTCATTTCATTAGATAGTGCAAGTATAAATTAAAAAATTGGTACGTCATTTCCATAGTTTTTATTCATTCATAAATTCTTTGATCCGCTCCTGATGGTTCGCAAAGCCTTGATCACCACTGTATACAAAACATTCATCTCGCCGAAAATGTTCATGATTCCGCTAAACTGAGAAAGTTCACACATGATTTATCATCTCATAACACACATCAGCTCTCTGCAATGCAGAAATGCTCGAATTGAAGGGGAAAATTCAGGAGTTATTGATGAGAAAAATTCAGGAGTTATTATGTCGCCCCGAACGAAGTCGGGGACGACATATTGATATTGTACGCATGTTTTTTTTATCCAGGCTGTTTCTCGGAGATGGCTGGGACAATCTACCTGAAACTTTCCTCAAAGGACGATCACTGGTTGTAGTTGTGCAGTGAGGTCGTTCAGTTCCAATATGTCTACCGTTGCCATGGAAACCTGTAAAAAGCGACAAATTTTGTCCGAGAGTGTTCTCTCTGGTCCCTTAAACGTTCGTCATGAAACTTTTCTTATTTTAAGGATTAGTATCTGTAGTTCTGCAACTCGTATTTAAAATTTTCATATAATCGATTATTGCCATGGAAACCGGGTGAAAGTAAAAATTCTTTAATTTCGATTTTCTCAATAACTACTCAGGCAATCGTTTTGAAACTTTCAATGTTTATTCCTTGCAATGTGTCAAAGTGATTTCTACTTTCAAAATAATTGTAATGAGTCGCTCACGGTTGCCATAGAAACGAAACAGAAAAAAAGATTCAGATGTACACATGTGTTCTCCAAGGTCTAGGTCAAAGGGTCAAAGTTCGTCGTATCCAATAAAAGTTCTTTTCACAAGGATTACATATTTGAAATACGAAAGCCCTAGTACTTACCGTTCAAACGTTATGGCTATTTACTATGTTCAAGACGACCCCCCCCCTTTTTTTTGAAGCACACAGCCAAGTAGAATACACAGATATAACATATACAACTTACAAGTAACTTTTTAAAATCTTCATTCATAAAATTCAGTTCCCGTCATGTGATATTTTGCCATCATTCATTCTCCTTCTGTTTTGTCTCTTGAATTTATAAATATTTTATTTTATCTATATAAAAAAAAATAACGATTGTCAGCTGCATTTATTATCATTTCGCGTTTTCTTGTATATCTATCACTTGTATATTATTCATTTCATTAGATAGTGCAAGTATAAATTAAAAAATTGGTACGTCATTTCCATAGTTTTTATTCATTCATAAATTCTTTGATCCGCTCCTGATGGTTCGCAAAGCCTTGATCACCACTGTATACAAAACATTCATCTCGCCGAAAATGTTCATGATTCCGCTAAACTGAGAAAGTTCACACATGATTTATCATCTCATAACACACATCAGCTCTCTGCAATGCAGAAATGCTCGAATTGAAGGGGAAAATTCAGGAGTTATTGATGAGAAAAATTCAGGAGTTATTATGTCGCCCCGAACGAAGTCGGGGACGACATATTGATATTGTACGCATGTTTTTTTTATCCAGGCTGTTTCTCGGAGATGGCTGGGACAATCTACCTGAAACTTTCCTCAAAGGACGATCACTGGTTGTAGTTGTGCAGTGAGGTCGTTCAGTTCCAATATGTCTACCGTTGCCATGGAAACCTGTAAAAAGCGACAAATTTTGTCCGAGAGTGTTCTCTCTGGTCCCTTAAACGTTCGTCATGAAACTTTTCTTATTTTAAGGATTAGTATCTGTAGTTCTGCAACTCGTATTTAAAATTTTCATATAATCGATTATTGCCATGGAAACCGGGTGAAAGTAAAAATTCTTTAATTTCGATTTTCTCAATAACTACTCAGGCAATCGTTTTGAAACTTTCAATGTTTATTCCTTGCAATGTGTCAAAGTGATTTCTACTTTCAAAATAATTGTAATGAGTCGCTCACGGTTGCCATAGAAACGAAACAGAAAAAAAGATTCAGATGTACACATGTGTTCTCCAAGGTCTAGGTCAAAGGGTCAAAGTTCGTCGTATCCAATAAAAGTTCTTTTCACAAGGATTACATATTTGAAATACGAAAGCCCTAGTACTTACCGTTCAAACGTTATGGCTATTTACTATGTTCAAGACGACCCCCCCCC